AGCCCGATTCGTAACCACTACGCTACCAGAGCTCCTTCACAGTTTAGGAGGCTAGAATTTTGAATTGAGAGCCCAGGCTCTGTCTGGAGAAAGGTCTTAGTTTCCTTTCAACATCTGTAGACTCAGCATTCCTTGAAGCTCTCCATGTGTCTTGGCATCAACTGTTCCCTGGATGTAGGAGCTTCCCAGTGCAGGGCCCAGATCCAAAGGACACACATACTCCACACCCAGATTTTCTTTCTTTTTCAGCAGCAGTAGGTCCTTCTTGGCTCTGCTTGGTTAATGTCTTTTATATCTCAAAAGAAGATTGACTCAAGATACAAGCTAATCCTGCAGATTGCCTCTCGTTGTAGTAACATCATATTGTTGTAGTTGTTAAATGCTTGTCAATGAGTTCCTTGCTATGACCCTTCTGGCCTTAGTCTTGTGATTAATGATTGTGTTGCTGTTAGGTGCGTTCGAGTCAATTCTGACTTATAGCAACCCTCTGCACAACTGAATGAAACACTGCCCGGCCCTGCATCATCCTCATAATCGCTGTTAGGTTTGAGCCCACAGTTGATGCTCATCAGTTTCAAGTCATCTTAGCTTCCAGAAAGCCAAGTTGTATCATTTGTATATCGCAAGTTGTTAACGAGTCTTTGTGCAATCCTGACATTCACATTCTTTTTCACATAACCAAGAGTCTTGGGTTATTTGCTCAGCATACAGACTGAATAAGTATGGTGAAAGGATATAGCCCTGAGGCACATCTTTGCTCATTTTAAACCATTCAGTATCCCCGTGTTCTGTTCTAAAGATTGACGTTTGATCTATGTCCCGCTTCTGCGTGAGCACAAAAAGTGTTTGAGAATTCCAATTCTTTGCAGTGTTATGCATAGCTTGTTAAGATTCACACTCGAAAGACTCTGCATAGTCAATAAAGTACAAGGAAACATCTTTCTGGTATTCTCTGCTTTCAACAAGCTCCATCTGATGTCAGCAGCCATAGCTCTGAATACGACTTGCACTCTGCCAACTTCCTGTGGATATACGGTTGCAACCATTTCTGAATTATCTTCTGTTTCTTAGCAACCCTGTATTGGGTTTCTGAGAAGTGGCTGGTGGGTTTGAAGTGCCAATCTTGCAATTTTAGCAGTCCAGTGCTTATTCGGGTGGTTATGTGCCATGGAGTCTGAACCCACTCATAGTGACCCTGTGTAGGGTTTCCAAGGCTGCAAATCTTTATGGGAGCAGACTGCCTCATCTTTCTCCTGCAGAACAGCTGGTAGTTTCGAACTCCTGACCTTGCGGTTTGCAGCCCGATTCGAAACCACTACGCTACCAGAGCTCCTGGTAGAATATTGGGATTCTAGAACACTAAAGTGTTGGAATGTAGCTCATTAGCATCTGTGCTAAAAGAATATTACCATATTAGAACTCTTTTATTGTGGTTGTTATTAAGTGCCATCAAATCGGTTCTGACTCATAGTGACCCTGTATAAGGTTTCCAAGGAGCAGCTGGTGGGTTTGAAGCGCCAACCCTGCCATTAGCATTCCAGTGCTTATCCTATGGCACCATATGAAGGCTCTTGTTACTGTTAAGTGTCATCCAGTCAGTTCTGACTCACAGTGACCCTGCATCCTGTACAGTGAATAGGGTTTCTGAGGAGCAGCTGGTGGGTTTGAACCACTGACCTTGTGGTTCAAACTGACTTTGAAGTCTAGTGCTTATCCTACAGAGCCACATCAGGACTCAAGGGCTTCAAGCATGATAAAAAAAAAAAAAAAGCTTGAACTTCCAAAATATTAAATTGTTAAAAACCCTGTTGTTGTTACCTACGGACAAGTTGGCCCCTCCTGGCTACCCCATGCACAATAGGATTGGACTACTGGGATTCACAGGAATTTCCTTGGCTGATTTGTCTTTCTTCCTGGTCTATCTTAGTCTGTTGTTATGTGCCGTGGAGTTGGTTCCGACTCATAGCGATCCTGCACAAGGTTTCCGAGGCTGTAAATCTTCACAGGAGCAGAAAGCCTCATCTTTCTCCCGCGGAACAGCTGGTAGTTTCGAACTGCTGACCTTGTGGTTCGCAGCTCGATTTGTAACCACTACGCTACCAGAGCTCCTTCTATCTTAGTCTAGAGGCTCTGAAGTAACCTGTTCAGCATTACACCGATATACAGCCTCCGCTGTGTGGCAATGCTTAAAATGCATTTACTGGGAATCGAACTTGGATCTCCCATACTGTTGTTATGCCATCGAGGCAATTCTAACTTACAGCAACTCTATGTTGGATGTCTGAGGAGCTGCTGGTGGGTTTGAACCCCAACGTTGTAGTTAGCAGTCCAGTGCTTATCCTACAGCACCACGTAAAAGACAAGAACCAACCCCATTAATTAATTAATTGCCAGGCTGCTGCAAACCCAAAAATCTCACTGCCAGCGAGTCAATTCTGACTCCTAGGACCTGTGTAGGATAGAGCTGAGGCTATGAATCTTTACAGAAGCAGACAGCCTCATTGGTCTCCCTCAGAGCGACTGATGGGCTTGAACCATCAACCTTGTGGTTAGCAGCCCAATGCTTAACCCACAGTGCCACCTGCAAGCACCTTTAAACCTTATTATCATGTAACCCTTATAACTAAGGAGCTCTGGTGGTGCTCAGAATAGGCACTGGACTACTTACAGCAAGGTCAGCAGTTCAACCCCCCCGGCTGCTCCTTGGAAGAAAGATGAGGCTTAATGCTCCTATAAACATTTATAACCTCAGAAACCCTAGACGGGGTGGCTAAGAATCAACTCCACGGCTAGGAGCTTGTTTTTGTTTTCACCCTTCTAACAACCCTTTTGATTTTGATACTATTGTTATGCCCATTCTGCAGATGAGGAAGCTGGCACTGAGGAATCAAGTAACTTACCTAAGATCACTCTGCTAAGGAAGAACCTGAGATGAGCCTCGAACTGTCAGTACCACTCCAGGACCCTGTGCCCTAGAATATCATCATTTACAAATCTTAGACTCTGGAGATGCAAAGTCTAAGCAGTAAAGACTCCAACAGGGCCAGGTTCTGGGAATCTAAGCAAGCAGTTTCTGCTAGACACCCTCAGCTTTCTCACCTGAAGAGCATAAGTCAATTCGTTTTGATTGGCTCCCTCAGTTTACTCATCTGAGGAATGTAAACCGTCCTCCCTCACCTGGTAAGCCTACTGCACCAGTTTGGAGAGAGTTGGAGAGTTAATAGGTGGAGGGCACCTGAAGGCGCTCTGGTAGCGTAGTGGTTACGAGTCGAGCTGCTAATCTCAAGGTCGGCAATTCAAACCTACCAGCCGTTCTGCGAGAGAAAGATGAGGCTTTCTGCTCCTGTAAAGATTTGCAGCCTTGGAAACCCTGTACAGGGTCACTATGAGTCGGAACCAACTCCATTTATACTTAACAACAACAGAGCACCAGAGTTCTGGGTTGGACAGGATCCAGGGGACCTGTCCCCACCCTGTACCATGTCAGAGTGACCAGCTCTGCAACATTCTGCTGACTATTATGGGCTGTGAATGATGCAACAGGACAGGCAGAGAGGAAGTTGGGCTGCCCCTCCCTCCACCCACTCTACCCTGCCAGGTAGCAGCCAAAAGGTCAAACCACTTTGCTTTTGTGTTTGAATTTTGGCACTGCTTATATATGATTTTCATCACTGGAATAAAACATGTACAGGCTATAAAAATGCAATTCCTCTCTGTCTGGGAGGCCTTGGGCAAGTCACTTAACCTCTCTGTGCCTCTGCTTCTTCATC